CCTCGACGGCGCCTTTCCCAGTCCGTCTCACAACGTCTTGACAAGTTTGGCAGCACTGTAACGATAGCGTTCGGCAACAATGTAACGACATATCCACCCTTTTAGCTATTTTCGGCTTTTCCGTCTTATTAAGGGTGTCATTATTTTTACATCCACGCGGACGGGGTTGCTACGAGAGATGATTTCTCTCTCTTCTTTTCCTCTGCCCCCTTTCTTGTCTAGTCACCAGGCTGTTTTATTAACAATATTACAATGTAGTAAGCCTTGTGAATTAAATTATCATTTGGAATCAAACTAATTAGCACCCCCCGAACAAGTGGGCGTCGTATAAAACATGTAAACCATAACTACGAAGAAAATGAAAGTTCTAGAAAGAAGCGTGTTGACTCCAGAAAACGCCCAGGAGAGAAATGCATGCTTCATGGAGTCTCTAACCTATTGTCCAAATAGAAATAGGGCATGGCAAAAACAAATAAGAAAAATTACAAAAACAACGGCTTACGCGACAAGAGTTTTTAAAAATTATAACCTTTAACTGAAGAAATGAAATTGCTCCAAAACTAATCAGCATTAAAGGCAACAAAAAAAACAACAAAAAAACAATCAAAATACAAACAACAATAAAATCGCGGAAGAAACATGAAAATAAATACAAACAGGAACGCACGAAGAGAAGAATTCTGAAGCAAGTTTAGAGATCAAAAATGCTTAAATATTCGTCATCAAAATTGTAGACACATGTTTAACCTACCTGTTCTCCAGCTCAAAACCTTTAACTCTTTATCTAGGCGCTATTGAACCGTGCACCACAAGAAAAATAATTTTACAAGCCTTATGCCAGGCAAGACTCATTTGGCATTAGGGTCATGCTCGACCGCATTTGGTTTTGTCTGTATTGAGTACTATTTAAAATTCAAAACAACCTCTTCTTGCCACCGACAAGTTAAACCACAAGCAAAACACATTTGATACCATATGTGGTGACGAAGGGATGATATCAAACTGAAAATGAATATGTAAGTATTAATTGTGTACATTTGTCATGCATGACTTTCACATCCCATTAGACGATGAGATGTCGCGTCTGTTGACGCAAAAGAGTCACTTGGTCAGTACGAGAGGCAGGAAATAACGGAATAGAGAGAAAGAAACAACCCACACCCGTGACAGGCTTAGTCTAAAGGCGCTACATGCAGAGGTGTGTAAGCGGTCCGTGGGCTCTGGCAGGCGAATCAAGACATGCAGGCGTGCCAGCACGGCGACGCAGCCGGCGGGAAGAGCAAGGAGACTGCTTCAATACATCCGGCTTGAAGTATATCGTTTCCTTGCGCTACCAGCCCGAGGCCGAGCATTGCATTGCATGCAGGCAGCGGTCTGGCCAGGGTGTGGCGGTGCTGTACTTACGTTGGGTGAGTGGGTGCATGAGGGTCTGGTGAGCGGGCGCGACCGTCGCGCTGGGTTGCTTTGGCTTGCTAACTTTGGTGTTGCTCTTGGCAAACTCGAGGCGAATCGTTTGAGGCAAGTCCGGGTCGAACCGAACACCCTGCTGTAGACAAAGGCCCAGCCCAAAAACAAAAAAGGAAAAAACAATTGAGGTAAAATGGTGGTCATATAGTGCGGTTGGTGAGTTCCATTTGAAAAAAAAAGTACACTAGCACAAAGTGTAACAATGCTTCTCACGTTTGCTACGTTTCGCAAAACATCGTTGTCTTTTCAGAAAAATAGCAAGGAATGGAGTTACAGGTAATACGGAAGGAGTGACCTCATGATTTTCTTTATTTGAAAAAATACATCAAAATATTTACTTTTGCTTTGTGCCAGTTCAATGTGCAGTGGAAATAGATATTAGGAAGCATTGTTACCAACTGGAATACAAGATCATACTGTCAAACAGGTGCTCAATCATTGTCAGAGGGAAGTACAAGAAGTGATTTCATCGAGTTCTGGAAAGAAGAAAACAACACGTAGGGATTGTACCTGTATTTAAGCTGTGAGTTAGTGGGGGTCAAACTAGTAAGCGTTGGAGACATCCAACTGCAGTGCTCCATTAAACTCATTCACTCAATCTTGCATTCACTTTCCACATAACTAGATACCAACATCGATAAGGAAGACGTTTTCCATATTAGCCGTGATTTTTATTAACTTATAATGATAGCTCTTACACGCATTCACACTCTATTGATGCCCCGCACCAGCCCTAGCAGTTTTCTGGCACTCATTCGCTAAATCCCTGTAATAAGACCCAACCAATAATACTAATCGAATGCAAACCAAACGGTACACAATAGGAAAGTAAGATGATGACCGGACACAAAATAAAAGGGGCTCGGACATAGATAGAGATAGGCATGTGCTCTTTCGGCGTCTTTCGGCACTTCCTTTGTACAGCAAATACCGTGGTGGGTGACGTGAAGGTCTACAGCATGTGCGCTAGATCATCATCTTCATCAGATGAGCCAGGTGCGGAACAGAATGTGAAACGAAATGCTACGCAATACGACGGGTAGCATTTTGTAACGCATCATGATGCCTACCGACCACTGCACCTAGCATTCTGCCGAGAGGATTTGCGATTCGATTTTGTACGATTGGGAGAGTAGGGGGTGAGTTTGTGTCGAAGGCTGCATCTTGTATGTACATTGGCAGTGACGAACACTGACAAACTCATCTCAACCTGAGCACATAGTAAGAAATGAAAAACTCCCCCATTACACAATGAAACAAACGCACACAGAAGTGCCAACGAGAGCAGCTTGTCAGTGCCGATTGTGTATTACCCTGTGCAGAGCAAGAGCCCATTAGACGTGGACAAAATCACTTCACAATAACTGCGTGTGGGTAGTGAAGAGAATACACCCTGGAAGTCAGAAATCATCGGACTAGTTTTTCACTTTTGTCAGAGACATGAATGATTGTGTTCGTGTTGGTGTATGCCTGAATGTGTGCGTGCGTGTTGCTGTATTTTTTGAAGATGGTAGACAGTGGTGGTTAGTTCGTTTTACGCACCTGAAGATCCTGTTTCGCGGCCTCTGCCCCTGCCCTTGTGTGGAACGTTACAAATCCGACGGGCTAGCAGGACAGAAGAAAGGGGCAAATATTGATAACAAGTTCAATTGTTGGACTTTACTGTAGAGACTTCGCAGGCTGGAATAGCACACTTACCGAGGCTGTCTTTCCATTCTTTGTGGTAACTTTCAATAATGAACCTTCATAGCCCTGTAACAGCAATACAACCAGCATTAAATATAGCAATCAGATTATCCAACCCTTGCATTAGGATGGCTATTATTGGCTTCGCATTTCGAAATTCCCTGACATTTTCATGACTTTTCCTGACTTAATTAAAGATTTTCCATGACATTACAAAAATTATTTTGTTCACGTTGTACAACAGCAGAACGGCAACAGATGACGCTGGCGCTTCCCAATTTTTCAATGATATGGTGACTGATTTCCCTGACTTTTCCGTGACATGGATTTTCTTCTACGAATTATCTCTATTACTCGTATCAACCCTGGGTATTTGACGCCCCACCTCTCTCTTTTGCCTACTTCGTTAGTTGAAATTACGGTGTAAAAATGGTAAAATGCACAAGTGAGTTCGGGTTGGCGCGGTGGCGGGCATGCACGCGAGCGGGCGCGCAGGGACGCTAACGGGCGCCACGCACGAACGCCATAAAAGAGAAACACGGCCAAACAGTCGCTTCATTCAAAACAAAGCGACACGAAACTCAAACTCAATCCCGCCACCACAGTCCACCCGATCAGCTGCTCTCCCCACAGCCCTCGTCAGCGCGCGACGCGAAAATCGAGAAAAGTCGATACAAAACGTTTGTTGTACACATACGATGCGCATCAATTATCAAGAGTGCAATCATATTGCACGAAAAAGAAACTAATTGGTTTGAATCAAATGCTGACCCCTCGCCCATTCAAATACGAGCGCATGGAATTGGGGGTGGCGTGTCGGGGAGGGAGATGCCGAGAATCGGGGTGCGGAAAAGAAATGAAGGGACGGTTGCGCCGGTCGCGGATAAAACCAATAAAACATTCATGGAATACTCACCTCGTAGGCTCTAAAAAGCAGGTACAGCTCCCTGGGCTTGGCGTCCATGGGAAGACCGCTGACGAAAAGTGTCCGGACCTGAGAACAAAACAAAATAACGGCAACTTTAGCTGCAAAGCTCACTCATCGAATAAAACAAAACAAAAAGGAAACACAACAACAAAACAAGAAAGACAAGAAGAAATCGAGCTCATTCTTTGTAATACGTCGCCCGCTGTCGCCAAGCCCTCCCACCCCCTACCCGGCACTAGGCGACACTCTCGACGCGTCCTACGAACAAAGTTCGATCTCCCGACGCGCCGTTCAACACTGTCCGATCTCCGGGCGCGCCGTTCAACAAAGTTCGATCTCCTGGCACGCCGTTCAACAATGTCCGATCTCCTTTTCGGGGTTTGCAGCGAGGTGGAAGTTTAAACGCCTCGTACGTCTGTTCGTCAAGATCATAGAATTGTATTATTGGTCCAATGTGTTGCGTAATCTTAGAGGATCACATAGAATTTATTAGTTTCATTTTAAGTGAACTATCAACGAAGATATCACGGCTTGAAGCCTACGGCGCAGATAAAAGCTGAAAAGGAGATCGGACAGCGTTGAACGGCGCGCCAGGAGATCGAACTTTGTTGAACGGCGCGCCCGGAGATCGGACAGTGTTGAACGGCGCGCCGGGAGATCGAACTTTGTTCGTAGGACGCGTCGTCTTTGAATTGCACTTTTCTCAGCTTGTTTTATACCGCCCCTCGTCGGACAGGACAGCTATAAAGTTCAGCCAGTCAGGCCCGGCCGGGAGGTTGGCGACATTGCAGCTTGACGCCGGCGCTGTTGTTAGTTGCAGCGGCTGGACGCTGGCGTCCCTGGGTGGCAGCGAGAGGCTGAAGCGCTCTCTCTCTCTCTCACCGCCTTTCGCACACACAATTATTTTCATTCAATCTAAATGCAAATGGAGGCGGCCTCCGGCCTTACAACAACCCCTGCAGCAATGATACGGAAAACCAAATCCCGAGTAGCCGAGTCAAGCCGGGCCGCGACCTGCCACACTCCGCGCACCGGGGCTCCGATGCCGCGACGGGAATCCGGAAGCGAAGCGGCGCGCCAAGGATTTGAACCCCGGCGGCGTCCCTCCCTGCCGAGGGGGGGGGGGGGGGGCTGTGTGTCGCCGCCGCCCTTTGAGGCAGTCGCGCTCGTAAAAGAATAACTGGATTCGCAAATAATGAAGTAAAATCGGGAACCATTGGGTGAGGGAGAGTGAGCAGCACGATCACCGGCCGACGCTCCCGCACCGTCAGCCACCCTGCTCCATTCCGCATCACAACTTCCCTTCCTGATGCCCGTTCGTTTACACATTATTATTTATTCACCCTGCAGGCAGATATGTCCGTGTTTCGCGAGCTGTCGATAGAGAGCTGGCGTGTGCAGGCAACACCCATACGCTAAACACCCCCAATCCCTCCCTTCCAACAGACACACCACCCTCCCTCCCTCCCCGCGCACACCCGTCGCGTCGGGCAGCCATACCGGTACTTTACATGCCCCTGCCCACTAAACGGCTTGACCCACTTCAAAGTACAGGGGGGCTAGCGCCAGCGGCCTGCGGGCCCTGTGGTGCCGGTGCACCGCGCCAAAAAAAGGGAAAAGAGACTCGGACACGGGTACAAACAAATACTGCACGGGTGAACCACGCGCCAAAGAAAAGGGGAGCGTCGTAGGTTAGATTCCGCTCAACAAAGCGAGCAATAAGAACGACTTGTGCATTATCGTTGCGTTAACGGGGGGTCGACATAGTCCCCCCTGTCATCGAACGCACCGAACACACAGTGACGGAGAGACAGCAGGGCCGCGGAGAGCATCCCGGAGAGACAGGGCCAGCACCTATATGGGCCTAGCTTCTCTTGGGGGGCAGGCGTATAGTGATTTATGTGGGAACACCGCTGAGCGCGCGCGCACCTACCCTAGGTGCCCCCTTACCCCTCGGGAGTGCCCCCTTACCCCTCGGGCCCCTCGGGGGTGCCGCCCCCTCCCTGGAGAAGTGGATGGATGGATGTATAAATGCAGGAAATGCTTCAAGGGTTACAAGGCGCGCGTGCAGCCGCCGCCGCTGCCATGAGGCGGCCGAGCAGGCCCCACCCCGCCCGCCCCACCCGCGGTTTGCGGTGCGAAATTTCAACAGTAATTCTGTCTGCGGAATCCTGATGGCACATCATATTTCCTCCAAGCGGGCGGCCGCCTCCCCCTGCCCCTGGCCCGCCGAGCCGGCGACGGAGCAGATGTCTCCTTCGTGAGAAGCCGGCATCAGCCCAAGGCCCCCATGTCCTTCCGCGCGGGCGGGGCGGGGGGTGCGGTGTCAGAGGGGATGAACACAATGCTGAGAAATGGGGACAGCAGGGGGACCTCAGCTTACGCCATCTCAGCAGATGCACTCTCGAGTACAGAGAGGGCATCTGTCTACACTATCAGAAAGGATAACGGAGGCGAAAGGGGAGGGGGTCTTAATGACTTGGAGTGCCCCCGCGCTGCAACTCGCGGGTTACACGAGTGGCCGTCAAACTGTGACGTATTTCTGTAAAAGATCAGGGGAATTAATCAAGCGAAACGTTCTCCATCATGAGAAAGCAGGATAACGCTAAAAGGAGTGTAATAGGACGACATCTTACGGGCGAAAACTTTCCAGCAATCATCCTTTTCCCCCGACCCGACAGCAGACGTGCGTAATTTAGCTTCTTTTTTATTCCCCCATCAGCAGTCGTCTGTCCGACTCCGTCGCCCGACTGGAGAAAGGAAGACAAGGAGAAAGACGAAAGAACAAGTTCCCCTTCTTCTTGCTGGATGGACAATTTTTGTCGTTTTTGGATTGATTACGGTGACGTTAGACAGCCCCCCGGCTTCGCCCTGCTGCGCTCTCTCCCTCTCTTCTTGGCTTCACAGTCCCGATCTTTCAAGCTCCATCCTCTCCTCACATCCCCCCTTTCTCTATTTCGAGCGATCGTCCGGTTTTTTTTTCCTTGGGAAGAAATGAAATACAATTGAAGCAACAAGTAGTCGCCCTGTCTAATATGGGTTGGGTTGTCACATGCTTCCAGTCTCAGACTATGCGGACTACGGAAAAGTGTGGCACATAGTAAAAGGGCAAACAGCGATACGCAGATCAAATAACAGGGTGGATTCAGGGTGGATCGGAGCATGGTTTGGTGCGTGTTGGTTTGTCTACGCACACCGGATACGACGCTCAAATCTTTTTAAAAGAGCAAAACAATGTATTACGAGATGGTGGGAAAGGGGGGGGGCAGAGAGAGAGAGAGAGAGAGAGAGAGAGAGAGAGAGAGAGAGAGTTTTCGTCTTGGCGACCTATCGTTACTGCAGGTGTGCCACCGGGGCCGGCCAGTGGTGATGGTGGTGGAGGAGGTTAAGTGCTCAAGAGAGAACAAGACGGCGGAGAGAAAAAGAAGAGAAAATGGGGGAGGGGCGAGGGGGTCAAGGTGCAGCGAGAAAGAAGGGGTAGTGAAGGTAAAGGAAAAAGTATCGCGTGGGGGGTGGAAATGGGGAAGGGGGTGTAATTACGATAATGGG